CTCTTCCCAAAGAATTCTGCGTTTCCCTTCATAAGGACTAGCATAGACAACCATAAAGAAGAAGCCCTTCTTGTTAGAGACCTCCACCCAACAGTGGATATACTGCTCATGCTTAGAGATACAAGAAACCTTTACGTCACTAGCATTCCACATGAGCCAAATGCCACCAGAAAAGCCTTGAGCTTCAACTATACTATAATTAGCAAATCCCAAAATTCTGATAATCCTAACAGCTTTATTCCCACTCACCCTCGGCTCTAAGATAGCAGCCACACTAACCTTATATTTATTTTTAAACCTGACAAAAGTGCTTTTAAATTGCCTCTTAACAGCACCCCTACAGTTCCAAGAAAGGACATTCATCATTAACTCTAATTATAATGCAAGATTGCAAAGCTCTTGCAGCTTCCATCATGGCACACACTCATACAGCTCTGACTTGCAGAAAGACCATCAACACAACCAGTTTCATAGCTAATATTAACATCATTAACTAAATTAGCTTTCAACGATAAGTCAACTTCCATACCTATATTAGCATCCACAAGCATACCAAGTAGTCTATTTATCTTATGCTGCAATTGCATATATCTATAAGAAAATGATAACATGAGCAACATTGAGGTCACACGAAAGGAACTGGTCCCCAACCTATTGTTTCAAACTGGGACCCTTCGAGGTCGAGGAGCCCATCCTTGAAAAAATAATATATGTTTTATGAATAATTGGATCGTCTAAATCCCAATTTTGTTGTTAGGGTAACACGTGTATATATCACGTGAAATATTTAAAGGATTTAATATTTCATATATTGTAACAGATAAATTTATCTCTTTTATATATATATATATATATATATATATATATATATATATACTTGATAAACATTAAATTCATATTTAAATTTCACAAATTACAGTTTTTAAAATGAATATTTCTGGTACAGAAATACATTCACATCGAAGAAAATTTTTTTGTAGATTTTTATCGTGCACAAGATTGTCATTGATTTTATTTTATTTAAATTTCTTCATAGGTAAAATTATTAAAATAATAAAAAATTTCCTACCAACTTTTATTACAGTTGCATATTTAAGATTCAAGTTTCAAAATTATTAATTAAGCGGAAACAACTTGTATCAATAAATTCATCTGCTTTGAATTGTTCACTAATAAGATTTAAGGGAAAAGTTTACCAATGTTCTTGTGGTTTGCTTCAGAATCAGTTATGCTCCTGCAGTTTTTTTCTATCACATATGCCCATGTGGTTTGCAAAATGATATGTTTTTTTATTACATATGTCCCTGTGATTTTTTATTTTTTACAAAGCATAGGAACATATATGATAGAAAAAAACCACAAGAGCATAGGTGATTCTGAAGGAAACCACAAGGGCATTGGTGAACTTTTCCCTAACATTAATCACAAGTCACAAAATCCGAATAATGTCATTGTAACCTGCTGTGTCCGCTAGGTAGTAATGTTTTCATGTTCGCATTTGACTATGCTATAATATTAGCAAGATCCGCTATCAGTCAGCATTAAGAACGTCCTATAGTTTTCGACAATTATTCGTATTACCTTCATTCATTCATGACTCGGGGAGGATAAGGGTCAATAAGTTTAGAATTGATGAATATTTTAACTTTTCAACGATTCAATTAATATTAAAATAACATCATTTTTATTTCAAATTAATAAAACTTGGAGACAATAAAGACAGATAAAAATAAGAAAAGATTGAAAAAATAAATAAATGTGTTCTGGATGGTTGGTTACTTGGTTAGGGGTTGTCTGGGTTTTTTCATTGGGGTTGAGATTGTTTGGACTTTTTCATTGAGTTGTCCAACAAATCTAACCCATTAACTCATCAAAGTTAATGCGGTCTAGAGGACTGAAAATAATTATGATATCACACTTTTCATATTAGGGAATCTTTTCTCATTCTACATTTATTCTTACTCCTCTATCAAGGAATCATCTTCTTCACCATTACTCACCTTATTATTACTTTGCTGAAATCTCTAAACACCATCAATAACCTTGCCCCTAACACCTTCCCCTTATTCTCAACTTGTCAAGACCTTTACGATGACCTCCACTAAATTATAGTTCATGCTATTATCTTATTTTGTATATTGAGATACTTCACCCTTCAAAGGATACATCACTCTTGATATCCCTTAACAAGTTCAAAGTGAAAGAAGAAATAAATAAATAAAATATATAAAAATTGATAAATAAATATATATATATATATATATATATATATATATATATATATATTGTTTATAGAGAAAAATGTTTATCCTTTTAAAAGACACAACTTATATCTTTTCATTCTTACAAAGAGGTGGGACCCACACCTTTATTTTTTTTGTCAATTTCTCTCCTCCTTTATCTATCTCTTTCTCTCTTTTAAAATGGCACAATTTTATATCCTTCAAAATGACACACATTTTTCCCTTGTTTATAACATAAGAAATAATGGGTATACTCCACCAGAATACTAAGGGGGTGTTTGGTTCAGGAGAAATTTTTTTACTAAGGAAATGTAAATACAAGGAAGTAAGTAGGAAAGTAAGTTTGGTAGAAAAATATAAAAAAAGTTGTTTGGTTTAGCAAAATATTAGTGGAGAAATTGGGTTAAATATGCTGAGTGTATGTTTGGTTGAAAATAAAATTTTAATAGAAAAATAGATTGAATTTACGAAAGTAACCTTTTAATAAAATTTTGAACCATTTCGAGTAAGAAGATTGGTAAGAAGAGGGGTATTCTTGTAACACTCTTCATCCACTTTTTTCATTTCTCCAGTTTTGACAGCAATACCATCTTGGAAGTTGGATTCGTTAACAGTGAATTTGTCCCTCTTTTACACGCTTTTGTAAATAGATAGGTAAATGTGTAAACTGGATAAAAGTAATTAAAACCATCTACCAAACTAGGGGTGTTTGCGGTCTGGATTGGATCGGTTTTGGAAGAAAAACTCATCTGATCCAATCCTTTCGGTTGGATCATGTAATCATCCATTCGGTTTAGATTTTTTTTCAAATCCGATCCGATCCAATCCAAATTTTTTCGGTTTGGATTGGATCGATTTTCGATTTTTTGAATATCCTAAAATTAGTTTCATGATTATTGTGCAAATAACATCTTTTGTATATATTGGCTTTGTAAAAAAAAAAATTGAAATACAAAAATATCAATAAACAATACTATAGTTGATTAGTTGATGAGACGTGACTAAGTTTTTTCTTAGGTTTAGTTGATGAGTTAATGAGTCTTGAGTTTAGAAATTTTTTGGCTATGATTGGAGAAAGGACAAGTAGGTAGAAGATAATTAATATATTGGATCGATTTTCATCAACCCATCCGAAAACCGATCCAATCCAATTAAAATTTGCGGTTTTTTTTCGGTTTTCGATTTTTTAGTTTTCGGTTTATTCGGTTATCAGTTTTTCGATTCAGTTTTCGCGGTTTGAATCGGTTTGGATCGGTTGATGAACACCCCTATACCAAACGAGGAGAATAGAGAAACTCATTTCCACTTCAGTGGGAAAATGTTCAGAACTCTTGAACCAAACAGCCCCTAATAGTCTTCCTTTATTTCGGCCAAGATAAACAATGTGCCAAATTATTCCAATATTTCCCACTCATCTTGATTTATTATTTTCATTCAAGTAAGTTTCGGCCAATTTCTTTTTTTCTTACTGTCGTGCTTGATAACAAATTTTTATTTTTGCGTTAACATCTATTGTCTTCCAAAAATATGCCCAAACAATCTCAATATTTATATATATATAAAGGGTTCGTCGATTCTCCTTTCACTGCTGATGAGAAAAGTTGCACCAAATTTTTAACACTAGGATACATGGTCGTATTCTGGCCTAAAAAAAAAAAAAATCAAGATCCACACGCGTATCCTGAGAAAAATAAGTGTTACTGCACTTTTTCTCATCTGCAGTGACATGAGAGCTACATATCCCATATATAAAATAAGGGTAAAAGATTTCTCCGTTTAATGAAAATAAATTATCTCCGATGAGTCCAAAACGACATCATTTTGGGGTGAAAATCAAAGTATTTTTGTAATTCTAATTTATTGCAGGGTTATATTAGTCTTTATCATTAAATTTTTTAATCTTACAACTCAAAACAACGATGTTGTTTTTGGTTCACCGGAGGTAAAGTTGTCTCGGTGGCCGAAGAAATATTTTTCCTATAAAATAATAATAATAATAATTTCTGTGTTTATAAAAAAATTAATAGGTTTAAGAAAACTTTATTTGTGTTGGGGCCACGGCTACCGCCAGCCACTTCCCTCTGCCATTGGTTGGGTTGCACTTCTTTGTCAAGAACATGTTTGAACAGAGGCCACATTTGAATGGGATGGGCAGCGTTTTTATAATCACAGGTAAATGCAGTGCAGTGACATCTTGTCCACATTAGTTAGTGAAGTTTCAAGGAGTTGAAGAGAGGCACATGATAATCACCATCCTATGAATTTCTTTCTCCAAACATTATTTGTCTCATGTGCCCTCCTTGTCTGGCTTATTTTCAACGGATAGCATGTGAAAACCTTCCCTCTTTGTGCCAATAACTAGTAAATGTCAATGACATAAAAGAATGTTCAACCGGCAAATTAATGATAAGACTTGGAAACTACAAACCAAGTTTCCTGTAAAATCTTCAGGTTGACCTTTATCCAGTCCTCTAATGTTGCAAAAATGGTCCATAGCAGACTCTCTCTGGTGACTTTGTGTTCTATGCAATCTTTCCCTAACTATCTCACATCTAGAGAAGAATATATCTTTTTAAAATTGACAGGGTGCCCTTGTGGTTGTTTCTTGCAACGTTTAAAAAGGAGCATCAACTGGTGGATATTATGACATGGGAGTAATCAGATTAAGCTAGTGAATACTTAAACCTACAGCTACAAATTTATTGACATTAGTAATAAATAAAACATACATAGTTTGTGATATTAATTATTATCTGTACAAAATCAAGGAGCAATAGGATCCAACATTTCCTGAAATTTGATATTTTAAATCCCACATCTGGCATCTACCAAAACACACTGCTTGTTTCAGCAGAGAAGTACAAGTACCATTCAAGAGAGAAGAAGAAAGAAACTAAAACAAGAAAAAATTGGAATGCTCATTCAGCCACCACATGTTTCTAGGAGCTCTCCACTTCCTCCTCCTACAATTATCTTCTCTTAAACTGATGAAGGATCATTTTCCTGAAATGAGGAAATGGAGAAATTTAGTTTTCCTATATACACACACACACACACACACACACACACTATAAAATTAAAAGCATGACTATACCTAGTGATCTTTTGCAATGGAGGACTGCTTCATAAATTGAGTTCTCATGATCATTAGAATCCCCAATAGGATGGGTTGTAATTGGTTTTGGAGATGATTTCTGCGAACTGCTCAAGCTTCTAACTTGCCAATCTGTCTTATCAATATCATCAACTCTAGTACTTTTCCTTGAGCCTCCTACCTTATGCCTTAATTGGTTGATACAACCAAAAAAGTCTAGCAAGGTTCTCCATGTTGATTTTCTCCATCTTGTAAGGAAGCCATGATGAATTTCCATAGTTCTTGGAGAAACAGTTCTGGAAGAAAATGAAGAACCAAGCATGGTTTGAGAGGGATCCGGGGTATTGCAGGACTCTACTTTGGAAGGGTCAACAAATATAGGCATTACAAGGCCATCAGAGAAAATCTCATCAGCATGAACAAGAACAACAGGTGACTGAGTGATAGAAATATCAAAATCAAAGTTTTGGCATTCTGCCCTTAAATTATCTGAGTTTATCATAGTGGAGTTGAATTCTGCTGAGGTGCCTTCATAGGAACTGTAAACAGATTCTCTTAGAGGCTCCTCAAGGCCATCCAAAGGGGATTTACAATCTGATAACCAACTATATGAAAAACTATCACTGGCTAGAGGCACTGAGGTTTCCATTTTGCAACGATTAATGCAAATAATGATGAATAAAAAAAACACATATACTCTTGAGGATAAACTGATGTTATTGGTAGCTTATAGTGACAAAACAATGGTAACCACAAGGGGAAAGTTTGTCTATTCTATCAAGGTCAAGTAGGGGACAAATGGAACAACATAAATGCAAAACTGTATTGACTTTAAGTAATAAGCTTCTCTTGCTTTCTCATCTTTTGTAGTTATAGTTGTCTGTAATTTCTTCTGGACAGACATACGATAAAAAAAACCAAATAATAGAAAAAAAAGAGCATGATTATTGCCATAAAGTCACCTTGCTTTCTCATCTTTTTAGTTATGGTTAATTGTGAGAAAATAGGAATTTAGGGGAGAAAATGAAATCTTCCTCCGAGTAACTTAATTTGCTTGACAACCTTTTTTATATCAACGGAAAGGATCTGTTTACAAACTTTTTTAAATTATCTTTACAAATTACACTATATTCTTCCGGGAAAACATAGTGTAACTAGTGTTCTTCTGGGAGAACATAATGTAATTTGTAAGAGTTTGTAAACGAAATATTTTGTAAATATAACTTGTCCCTTATATCAATGTAAGTTTCTGTTCTAGACCATCTTATGGCCCCATAGCTTCTAAAAGCAACAACTTAGCACATGTGATAAACCTAAGAGACAAGAAATAAGACACCTACGAGACATCCTCTATACTATTCATAAGAGATAAGCGATAAGATTCCTTATATTATCTCCTAATAATGACTCTTTACAAGGAACATTCTCTATAAAACTTCAGGTATACACACTTTGAACTCCATATTCTTTAGTTATCGCTGCGCACATATCTCATGTCTTTCGCTATCATTATGTATTGTTATTCTTTGTGGCGTGTCTTTTATAGACTCCTATATAGGATATAAATACTAACTTTCGGTTAGACATTCTCGATGATCCACCCGGATCGATCAAGTTTTTATTACAACAAATAATAATAATAAAAGAGCATGATTGTTGCCATTTGTATTTAGAATTTTGACTCATAAAGAGCACGATAAATGCCTTAGTATATGGTGTGAAAACTATTTGAATGATAATATAGAATATCCTAAGTTGAATACATTGTAAAATATTCACGTATAATAATTTTGAAGAAATATCCTAATTATGAGTAATTATATATTTGGACCCTGAAAGATATTACTAGTTGCTTTGGCCCCCAAAGTTATCTATAAAAATTGGGTCCCAAAGTAGTCAAACTGTTATCATGTTCACCTTATCAAAGTAATCAACTTGTTAATAAGTTCATCCTTCTCTCAATCATTTTGTGCAGATAGAAACATCTGAAAAATAAAGCAACAGAAGTAATATCACCAATTGTATATTGAGATTGGTTATATTTATAAATTTTTTTTTACAAATTACATTATGTACTATGGCTAGTAATGCTCAAATAGTATATACTATCCATAGTACATAGTGTAGTTTGTAAACAAAAACTTTATAAATATAACCTTTCTTTTGAATATTTACTTCCTAATATAGAGCACTCGGCAATTTAATTTGAAATTTTTGTGTTCAAATTTCATGAGGAGCACATTAAAGTTGTATTTATGAAAAGATGATGGACTACCGTACTAGGTACCTCAAATTTTGATATTTAAAAATTAAAGACCTTACTGTATTCATGTCTATTTCATTACACACTGATAAGGGGATCTAGAATTTTTGTGCCATAAGTTTCCATCTCAAGAAATTGACGTATGCACTTATAACAGAAATAATTTTGAACTTTATCAAAGCATCAACCCATTCATACAAGAACGCCAAATTTCCCCCACAAAAAGAAAGGATAAAAGAAAACCAGAATGGAAACTTGCAACAAAATAATGAATATAATTTCAATGGAAAAAGTGTTATCTTTTTAAATCATACAACTTATGTCATTTTACTCTTACAAAGAGGTGGGATCCACACTTTTTTTTTTGGTTAACTTTCTGTCCTACTTTATCTATATCTTTCTGTCTTTTAAAATGACATAACTTTACATATTTTAAAATGATACACACTTTTTCCAATTTCAATATATAACAGAATAGATTTATAGAAGCATAAAACAACGGAAACAGGCAGAAAAGGATTATGGTCATTTTAATCCAAACGAGAGGTCTGTCATTTTAATTAAGAAGGGGCTTCAAAACAGTGTCTCATTTCTCGGAGTGTAAGTTAAACTCATGTTGCAGTTTTCCATTGGGTAAAGTTAAACAGAAATCATTACCTCTAATACAGTAGCGACCCAAAAAAAATTATTTATGTTTGCATTTTTAGTAATGGAGTTCGGCGGCAGCGACTCCAATTTTTTTTAAAGAAAGTTTTAAATGCATTAAAAAGCAAAAAGAATATAAACAAGAAATGAAAATTTTAACTTAATATAAAAAAATAATAATCAAGAGTCAACTACTCTATCACAATTTCAGGCAATAATTATTTATTAAGATTTTTATTTTTATAGTAATGCAAAATAATCTTGCACCATTTTTATTATTATTTTGATATTAAATATAATGAGGTAGGATCCTTTAACACCGGTGTCAAATTTGAAGTTTGACACCTTATCTAAGAGTCGTTAGATAAAAAAAGATCAATGGTGTCACATGCTTGCAAATCAGAGTCGTTGATCTTTTTTGATCTAACGGCTCTTAGATGAGGTGTCAAACTTCAAATTTGACACCGGTGTCAAAAGATCCTGCCTCAAATATAATTATATATCACAAGTAAAAAATAATAAGGATCAAACTCATAATCTAATAATCACAAAGAGTCAGAGACTATGATAAACAATCATCTAAGCTAAAATTTAAAAATATTAAGAAAATGTCATTTTAAAAATTTTATATATAATTTTAATAATATCTGTGAACTGTAGAAATCTAGGCAGCACGAATACAGTGAGCTATTGTCTTTTGAATGAATTGAGATTTGATTTCCTATGTTGGAAGCTATCTGCCGCATGCTATCCAATTCTTCATCTTCTCAAAGCTGGCCACTGCCTAATGCAGTAGACTGAAATTCAAGATCAGTTTTTAGTACCAACTCGGTGCATCTGTGTCTGCATTTCCCCACACTTGCAATAGTGTGCGTCCGCTGATGCCTCTAAATACAACAATGCTAAGATCCCATGAAGCACAAGTTAAGCAAAACTCTATTCCATCATATAAAATAGGGGAAAATGTTTGTGCTTTGATGCAGAATTTTTTTTTTCTGTTACACTTACATAAAAACGAGTGGGTTCCGTTATAAAGAGAGAAAGAATAAAAGATTAATGAGACTTACTCACTTACAAGTGTGACAAAAAAAAAAAATTATTCATCAAAAGTAGAAATATTAAACCCATAAAATAAACTAAAAATTAGAAAAAAGAACCAATGAAACCCTGCTGTGTTAAATTAAATTCTTCCATAGAAAGTAAAAAAAACTCAGTTGGTATTATTTCAAGCTGAGACTTTGCATGGAGAATGGGATAACAATTTTCATTTGAAGGTTCCCTTTTGGGAGAAAGCAAAAATGAATGGTCACGGGGAATATAGTTTAAAATGAATGGTCACGGGGAATATAGTTTAGCATAGCAAGGGTTCATTGGTTCCAAAATATTCAACTTGCTTGCTAACAGTTATGCAAGTATGCGCGACAACAAGTAATATAGGGCTTTTGTGAGTCCCAGTTATCGTTCTCACAAGGATCTTTGGCGTTTTTTTTTTTTTTTTGGTACATTACCAGGAGGTATTCCCATTCAACCTTCTCCGGACACCATGCCCTCGGGGTACGGCCCGTTTGGGCTAGCCCCTCATTGTAACAATGGGTGCACTAAGCTTCGCAACCGGAGAAAGGACGAGACTAATCCCCCAACCGAAGATTTTTGACTTATCCTCTGGCCCCCAAAGATTTTTCAAGAAACTGCTTGAGGCAGGGTTTGATCCCTGCACCAAGCAATTCCTTGAGAGCTCAGCTGCCAACTGAGCTACCCTTGGGGGTTATCTTTAGCGTTTTTTACTTTGAATAAATGTGTAATTGCTAATCAGAACAAAAATAAAATAAAATCAAATCAAATTAAATGACTGCTATTCTAAATCAAGTGTAAGAAAAATATTTTTTGTGAGGATTTTCTTTTTAAAATAGAACTTTAGTTGGTGAAGGAATTTTTAACTACTGACTGAAAAATTAATTAACTAAAAGACTTGTAAATTTTTTATATGATTTTCTCTTAACTTTTAAAACAGAAAATTAAATTCTGATTTGGGCGAAAATACAAAAGAACAACAAAGATTGGTTTTGAAAACAGAATTTGAAAACAAGTTGGGTGTCAATTTCCCCTTCATTCATTTGCCATTAGGATGCTTTGACAGAAAATAGATATTGCTTCCAGCGTAACGAAAATACTAAAATAACCATTGTTTCCCAACAACAGTTTTCTTCCAATAACAACAAATGACATATCTCTATGTCACTGTTATCACAAGACCTTGAAGCACCATTTTCTTAAGTTACATGAGGGTAACTTCATCCCTGGAGCCATACCCATTGAGAGAGATCTCCCTCAACTTTCCATGTGCTTACAGTGGGGTCTAATGTGGATTATTTCTCAATAATTCCACACCACTAGGAGTAGCCTATGTGTGGTCATCACATAATAACTCAGCGTAACAAATACACAGTAAACAAACTGGAAAACAACACTTTAAACTTTAAAACATCAACCAATAACAAATGAGCTCTAGGTACTCTTTCAACCCAACTCTTGGAAGGTTTAGCTCATACCCATAAGGGTTGAGCTACAAAAAAAATAGCAAACGAAATGAAAATTACAAAGAAAATAAAGTGCAGAAAAATTAAATCACAGCCCGAGTCCTATTCACCAGAATAGCCTCGGTACTGTGCTGATAGGTTCTAATCAAAACAAAGTAGCATCTATTTACAATACCAGAAACGTAAAAATAAAACTAAAGAAAA